GTAGACACAGGGTTTCAACAGTGTAAGCTGAGATGGTCTTGATCTCCTGACATCGTGATCCATCTGCCTTAGCCTCCCAAAGTGCTGAGATTACAGGCGTGAGCCACCACACCCAGTTGACACTACCAAGCTTTTTAAAGCTTTAATACTTCACCTTGGATATAAAATGTCTGACACATGCTGAATATGGTAACAACATAATAAGTGATAATTATAAGCTATGACTACATAGCTTATAATAAGTGATCATTATAAGCTCACGAAGGGATTCTGGCACAGACTAAGCACTAAATAATGTAGTAAGTAATAATAAAAAAAAGATGATAAAAAGAAAAATGCTTAGTACCTTAGTAAAGCAGTAAATAATAAAAAGTGACAATGATAATAGCAAGAAAGATGTTTAGTACCTTAAGGATACTTGACAGTTATTTGTTACGTGGACAAATGGATAAATGGATAAAAACTTTTTTTTGGAAATTCTGTTGGAAAAAATGCACAAATTCAATAGGGACAGCTCTACAGTATTCTGAACACCTTAAAGACCTGGACTAGGTGTATTCCATCATTGTCTCCTGTAACTTGCAAAATATGACTTAGAGTAGCCCTTTGATAAATACATAATAAAGACATCCTCATACAGTTCATATTGTACAACGCATTGTGTCACATTTAGGTAGCATTTTCTCCAGCTCACTTTATTGTAAGAATACAGTACATATAAAATAGAAACTGTGTGTTAATTGACTGTTTATGCTTTCAGTAAGGCTCCAGATCAATAGTACACTATTAGTAGAGTTTTGGAGAAGTCGAAATAAATAGATTTTCATATAAAGCAAATTTTCAGCTGAGTGGGGGATCAGTGCCCTAACTTTCATGTTGCTCAAGACTCAGCTGTAATTAATTCTCGTTTACTAAATACAAACCATTTATTATAAAAATTAAATAGAGCCCAAAAGTTTTCCAGAAGTTCAAGACCAGCCTGGGCAACATAAGGAGACCCTGTCTCTGCAGTAAATAAATAAATAAATAACTACTCTGTGTTTCTTCATAGGTTATAATATTCAAATGTTACAGTTTTCTGTTATTAATTCCTACTTTTCGTTATTAGATGTTCTATTCTTTGTGGCTTATAATTCAGGGCATATAAACTATTTTCTAATTTGTAATAAAACTTATTTATAAATATATTAATTCATTAAATTGGATAACCAGATTATCCCCTATTCTTGAGCTCATCAATCACACCAAGTTTTATACATTTTATAACAAACTTAAGTGGTTTTGACAATTGAGGACAGATTCAATATATAAAACTAAAAATTGTTTTACTTATTTATGAAAAAATATTATATAGGACTTTAGGGACCATAATTAAATAAATATTTTTTCAGATAATATTTTTTGAGATTAAAAACTACCTACAACTGGCCGGGCGCGGTGGCTCAAGCCTGTAATCCCAGCACTTTGGGAGGCCGAGGCGGGTGGATCACGAGGTCAAGAGATCGAGACCATCCTGGTCAACATGGTGA